AGTTACATAGAAAATGATAAATACAATAGGAGTTATGAGTAGAGATCTTTTAGTGTATTAATGTTTAAGGTGTAATGTTAATGATGTAATCCTATAAGTTTAGTTTAAAAGCCTGATACTTTCAAATCTTATTTATCTAGTATTCTATTAGGGAAAGCTTTTTAATAGTGTTTTATTATTCTTTCTTTGAGAAATTAATAGTTTGATGGAATTAAAAATCATTCTAAAAAGTAAAAATTTGAAGTATTTGCCTCCTTAATTTCTTGCTGCAATCACTGATCTCTCATGATAATTTACCTTTAATTTACTTTAATAATTTAAACAAGATCCTTGTTTAGTATATCCATTTTCAATCTTAACCTAATTTAACTTTTGTTTCAGAATACTCATTATCTTCACTAATCTAAATTTTTTACTTCCTTTTAAATAATTTTCTTAATATTTTCAATAATGTGTTAATTGGCTTTATGAAATCATATTTTGAATCAAACCTTTGAAGGATATTAATTTTATATTTACTGCATATTTGACGGCTTATTTTCTTATTTTACAGGTCTTTTAGAAGGAAAACATAATTTTTGTCCTAGAATCCTTATGAAATTGAATTATATCAAAATAGTAGATTGGATAAAATATACTTTTTTCATAAAATTACTGCAATTTCTTTCACATATTTTTTGTAAAAATAATTCTTCTATCAAGATGCGATTTGTTTTATTGATCTAAATTAAATTTATGGTTCAATTTTCGAATTTAATTATTAACCTCTATTTATTTTTATTTTTTTCTTTTAAATTACTTGAATTTTTGTCGTTAGTGCATTTTGAACTCAATATATATACATTTAGATTATATTATTTGTTTTAATAATTGAAATATCTCTTGAATTTTTAAAATATAGTGAAAACTTCAAACTTACTTTCAAGTAATTTATTACTCTTTCTCTGTTAAATATAATTTGAATATATTGTTTACAAAATGAATATTTCAAATTAACTTCATAACAGTCAGATGAAATAGAGGATTATTATTGAAGCCAAATTTTACAAACATGTTATTTAATATTCAGAAGGCTGAAATGAATAATTATAAATTTTATATATTTACGTATTATTCATATTTCATTGTATTTTCTAATTTGAATTTCTCTTGAATCTTCATCCAAAGTTAAGCGTCATCACTCATACATCCAGATATAAAATTACCTCTAAATTCAATGGATTATTAAGTTTTGAACCCACTATTTTCCTTTGTCCTTAGCGAATTCACATACTTGCATTCTTATTTACAAGCAGTCATTTTGATTGTATAAGCTATTAAGGAAATAAAAACTTATCATCTCCACCTTTAACAAGAATGTCTGTAGTTTTTACATACTATTTATTAGTATTACTCATTTGATAAGCATGTGTTTATTCTTTGTAATATGATTAAAAAGTGAATACATTATCATTTATAAAGCATATTCTATAACCAAGTGTTTCAACCATTATCTTTTAAATTACAATTCATTTAGTATCCTATTATGATTGTTCTATTATTAATATTTATTCCTCCCTTCCACATGAAATCACTTTATTCTATTGTTAATTCAAATTTAATTCTTATACATGACTACCTGAAATGATCAAATCCTCATTATTATTCAAAACGATACTATATATATAATTATTATGTCCATTTAATTTCTATTAGTAAATCCATTAGTTACTTTAAGGTTGATAAAAATGATAAGTAATAATTGAATTGAACTCATAACAATTCATTATTTTTAGGTCTATCAATTACAATAGAAAAATTAAGATTCTCAACTTACTAATTAGGCCCATAATTTAATCTTAATTGTTACCAATTGTTTTATTTCCAATATATTATCAAAAAGTGTAATAATATATTGATATAAGTATCAATAGTTAAAAAGGGATTACTCATTTTATTAAGGGATCAATTTATAAGAATTAATAAATTTAAAGCCTAAAGATTATTCTTTTGAAAAATTATATCTTAAAACATTAGGATATATATTAAATTAATAATAAAACAAAAATTCATATTTAAATAATCTCTTATGTATAAGAAATAAACCCTAATATTATCTTATGAGTA